GAACACATTATAGCTTTGTTTTTCGGCTCAGCGCAAGCAGCAAGAAAAGCTTCATAAGCATTAATCACCGAAAGGAAATTTCACCACAACTGTACAAAAGACGCAATACATCTAATTACATCTTACTGAATAGCCTTAATGCCACAATTAACACTTCTCATTGAACTAAAAAAACTGAAGGAAAACAAAAAAACTGGAGACACAATGACCACGCGAACAACGGTTCTATCGTTTCCTTGCACGTGCTACAAGAAAAGTGTTATCTAAAAAGAAGCTTTTACGTCTCTTACCGTCCAATGAAAGCAAGCAATATTGCTTACCGAAAGCCTTCTAAAGGTAGTCAAAAGCCATCTTAATTCTCTGGGGAAACCGTGTTTGTCAGACAATCTTAAGTTGAATTTAGAGGGATAATTAACATGCCCAAAGCTCTTCCTTTACGTAATTAAAAGACAAAAACACACAGCTTTTATCGGCTAAGTTTAGTATGTGTTAATAAGTCAAATCTTCAAACAGCTAATAACTTTAAGCCGCCCGTTTCCTGCCTAGAAGTTGGCAAAATCTAGGCTATCAAACGTTAAAGACGCACAAGACTTGATACAGGTTTAGTTTAAAGTACAGCACTGAACGGACAGTTAGTTACAAAGACGAAAACCAAATTGTGTAAAAGTAGTTTATCGGATATTAAGCCGGCCAAACAAAAAATCGAGCGCCAAGAACCGATTGTTTCTTTCGAAAGGAAGACAGAAAGAGAACAATATAACTTGGTCAATTCACTTACAGAATGGAAAATAGGCCAAACAAAAAGTCGGCCACAGTGCGATTTGCAAACACGGTCCGTCAAATTGAAGAATCACTTCAAGAGCTAAAAGAAGATGAAACGAGGGATCAAGAGCAGGTGGAAGATGTGAGAGGAGACGAAGGAAACAGCGACGACGGCTGGGACACAGATTTAGAAATTTCAAGCAAAGCAGTAAGAAAAACTCGCAGAAGTGCAGATATCACCGGGAAATCGTCGTATCTGCGCACGTGTCGTGCTCTAGGAGTCTCACCAGCGACAGCCGTGCTCGAAGCAATCCACACTCCGGAAATTATGTTAGCCCACCACGGTCTAGGGCCACAAGGGGGACGGGCTCTTGCCAAGGCCCTCATAAAGAGCACGACAGTGGAAAAGCTTGACTTGCAAGAAAACAGCCTCGGAGAGGAAGGAGTGGAATGGTTCGCCCAGATGTTGCTTGAAAATTGTTATATCAAGTTCTTAAATCTCGCGGATAATATGATGACTTCGGGCGGAGCGCGCGCCATGGGCAAAGTGATATCGGAAAATAGATACCTTCAGTGGTTAAATCTATCGTTCAATAACCTAGTGGACAAGGACGCAAAGCCGCTTTCCAAAGGCTTGGAAAACACAACGAGTCTAAAATATCTCAATATGAGTCAAAACTCCTTTTGCGAAAGCGGTGGTGAGTTTCTGGGTCCTGCACTGGCGGAAAACAATAGCATAACTGAGCTTAATCTGAGCTGGAACCATCTCCGATTGAAAGGCGCCATCGCTATCTGTAAAGGTATGAGACACAACAGCGCTATAGAGATCCTGGATCTTTCTTGGAATGGATTTGCGGACGAGGGGGCCGAAGCCATGGGAGAAGCACTTAAAAAGAACGACACACTTCTGGAGCTTGATCTAAGCTACAACAGAATCACGGAAAAAGGAGCTTTGGCCTTGGCGAAAGGTCTCCAGATAAATCAAACGTTACGCGCGCTAAAAATCGGCTCAAATCCTTTGGGAAACAGCGGCTGTTTTGCACTGATGAAAGCGATCAAAACAAACTCCAACTCTGCTTTAGGGGAGCTGCACTTGGATAATATCACCGTGAAGAAGAACTTTTTAGGTATGGCCTTTTTTCTGTTCATATTGCGTTCAGAGGCATCCAACGACTTTTATTCTGCTAAACTACTGGTCGAAGGAACAAATATTGCCTAGAAATGTCTAAAGCTCAAACAAGGCTACAGATGTCTGGATAACAGTTCCATCAGATTCTAAGATATCCGGAGGTTGTGTTTTTCACATTTTATTACCAAGAAACGGCGATTATTGTTTAAAAAAGGGCCTCGTAAAAATATCAGTGTAGAGAAAAAAGTCTCCTAGAATTTTCTAATGAAAGTACGGGTACTCCATTTCAAGCTCATGGTAAAAAAAGTTTTGAAAAATATGTTGATATCATGGAATAGATACGACAAAAAGCTTATTCTTGGATTCTCTAATTCTCTACATTTTATCTTAGTTTGCCACAAAAGCTGGCAGTTTCCCAGAGAAAGAAATTGGTCTGACAAGTCTGTAAAATTTTTTATTAATAGTCGTTACTTTACTCGAACGAAGGCAACAGAAAGACTGCCGGAAATTATCCCTTTTTACTAATTTTTTAAGGAACATTTTTAATCAGTATTTTGCTCGAATTTTTCCCATAAAGAGTGCAATTTGTCAGACCATCTGTCACAGAAATATTGCTTACTATCAAGTTAGCTCCACGATGTATTTTACCGTAGATTGGAATAGTTATGAAACCTGTCAGAATCCTTTGCTACATGTTTTTTTGGACCTGAGGGTGCAGAGCGTTCAATAGCATTCCTAGCATTTTGATGTTATTGACCCATAAAAACGTTCCATTAATTCATTCCGTCGCAATTTGCCAACAGAAAAAAAAGGATTGTGCACCTTCGGGGAACTTCCAACATAAACTGCAGCACTGTGGTTTTTATATTTGATGTTTGTTGCCTTTCATAACCAGTCTGCTCTAATAACTATGATTTTACTAGTATTTAGACTTGCCTACAAGTCGAGCTCAAATTTTTTCACGAGCGCGAAGCGCGAGCGGTAGATTTTTTATGTTTTCTGCGGCAAAAGCGAGAGAGATCGAGAGCTTTACGGGAACCGGAAATGAGAAGCGAAGGACTTTGAGAAAGTCTAACTAGTACTAAGCTCTCTCTCTGTCCCGCTTTTTCTCGTTATCAGGCCCTAACACTTTTTCTCTTGGTGTTGCGAGCGGGTGTGAACAACAAATTATGTAATACCAACGCTTTTAAAGACACTCAATGACAGCCCACACCACATCACGAAAGCGAAGCAAAAATGGTTTCCGCAACATCAAAAAGTACACTCGAAAATAGCCCGCTTAAGCTAAATTAACAATCAAAAATTATCTCTTCGTAGCCTGACAGCCTAACAGTGTCTGAAAGACTAATAATGCAGACCTTCAGCTTCTACATACGGACTAAAGCACTAAATATTGACTTGTTTTGAACTGGAATATACAATACAGAACTACATTCAATAGCCAGCGAATTACAGTAACGAACACATTATAGCTTTGTTTTTCGGCTCCGCGCAAGCAGCAAGAAAAGCTTCATAAGCATTAATCACCGAAAGGAAATTTCACCACAACTGTACAAAAGACGCGATACATCTAATTACATCTTACTGAATAGCCTTAATGTCACAATTAACACTTCTCATTGAACTAAAAAAACTGAACGAACACAAAAAAACTGGAGACAACGGTTCTATCGTTTCCTTGCATGTGCTACAAGAAAAGTGTTTTACGTTTCTTACCGTCCAATGAAAGCAAGCAATATTACTTACCGAAAGCCTTCTAAAGGTAGTCAAAAGCCAACTTAATTCTCTGGGGAAACCGTGTTTGTCAGACAATCTTAAGTTGAATTTAGAGGGATAATTAACATGCCCAAAGCTCTTCCTTTACGTAATTAAAAGACAAAAACACACAGCTTTTATCGGCTAAGTTTAGTATGTGTTAATAAGTCAAATCTTCAAACAGCTAATAACTTTAAGCCGCTCGTTTCCTGCCTAGAAGTTGGCAAAATCTAGGCTATCAAACGTTAAAGACGCACAAGACTTGATACAGGTTTAGTTTAAAGTACAGCACTGAACGGACAGTTAGTTACAAAGACGAAAACCAAATTGTGTAAAAGCAGTTTATCGGATATTAAGCCGGCCAAACAAAAAATCGAGCGCCAAGAACCGATTGTTTCTTTCGAAAGGAAGACAGAAAGAGAACAATATAACTTGGTCAATTCACTTACAGAATGGAAAATAGGCCAAACAAAAAGTCGGCCACAGTGCGATTTGCAAACACGGTCCGTCAAATTGAAGAATCACTTCAAGAGCTAAAAGAAGATGAAACGAGGGATCAAGAGCAGGTGGAAGATGTGAGAGGAGACGAAGGAAACAGCGACGACGGCTGGGACACAGATTTAGAAATTTCAAGCAAAGCAGTAAGAAAAACTCGCAGAAGTGCAGATATCACCGGGAAATCGTCGTATCTGCGCACGTGTCGTGCTCTAGGAGTCTCACCAGCGACAGCCGTGCTCGAAGCAATCCACACTCCGGAAATTATGTTAGCCCACCACGGTCTAGGGCCACAAGGGGGACGGGCTCTTGCCAAGGCCCTCATAAAGAGCACGACAGTGGAAAAGCTTGACTTGCAAGAAAACAGCCTCGGAGAGGAAGGAGTGGAATGGTTCGCCCAGATGTTGCTTGAAAATTGTTATATCAAGTTCTTAAATCTCGCGGATAATATGATGACTTCGGGCGGAGCGCGCGCCATGGGCAAAGTGATATCGGAAAATAGATACCTTCAGTGGTTAAATCTATCGTTCAATAACCTAGTGGACAAGGACGCAAAGCCGCTTTCCAAAGGCTTGGAAAACACAACGAGTCTAAAATATCTCAATATGAGTCAAAACTCCCTTTGCGAAAGCGGTGGTGAGTTTCTGGGTCCTGCACTGGCGGAAAACAATAGCATAACTGAGCTTAATCTGAGCTGGAACCATCTCCGATTGAAAGGCGCCATCGCTATCTGTAAAGGTATGAGACACAACAGCGCTATAGAGATCCTGGATCTTTCTTGGAATGGATTTGCGGACGAGGGGGCCGAAGCCATGGGAGAAGCACTTAAAAAGAACGACACACTTCTGGAGCTTGATCTAAGCTACAACAGAATCACGGAAAAAGGAGCTTTGGCCTTGGCGAAAGGTCTCCAGATAAATCAAACGTTACGCGCGCTAAAAATCGGCTCAAATCCTTTGGGAAACAGCGGCTGTTTTGCACTGATGAAAGCGATCAAAACAAACTCCAACTCTGCTTTAGGGGAGCTGCACTTGGATAATATCACCGTGAAGAAGAACTTTTTAGGTATGGCCTTTTTTCTGTTCATATTGCGTTCAGAGGCATCCAACGACTTTTATTCTGCTAAACTACTGGTCGAAGGAACAAATATTGCCTAGAAATGTCTAAAGCTCAAACAAGGCTACAGACGTCTGGATAACAGTTCCATCAGATTCTAAGATATTCGGAGGTTGTGTTTTTCACATTTTATTACCAAGAAACGGCGATTATTGTTTAAAAAAGGGCCTCGTAAAAATATCAGTGTAGAGAAAAAAGTCTCCTAGAATTTTCTAATGAAAGTACGGGTACTCCATTTCTTCGAAATTTCGACCGGACCCATCAAGGTAGCAAACAATTTTCCTTGGAGGGATTAAGGGTTCGGAGGGTAGGGGGTATTTCAATGACCAGGGGGGGAGGGACAAATCACACTTTATCCCCTTCCGGTTACTCCTACCACACAAGATAGGTTTAAACGTGCGAGAGAAATGCTTTATAGCAAATTTATTCCGAATAACCTTGCCTGTAATTTGAAAAACCCTGTTCACAGGTCTACTGGAGGACTACATGAAAGAAAAACCCGATTTTCAAATTAACTACGGTGCCAATCCACAAATAAACCGAAACAGAAGAGGAACCATGGCAAGTACGTTTGGCAACTTCGACAAAGATTCCGGCAGAAGGGTGAAGCACGAGCTACTGACGGCCCTGAAGAATTTCTTGCTGGAGAAAAGACTCAGGGCCGTAGATCTGTTCAATTGTTTGGATAAAGACAAAACACAGAGCGTAAGTCCAGATGAGATGTTTGTCGGATTGAAGAAGTTGAATGTACCACTCAGTGATCCGCAGCTTAAGAGGCTGATTCGAATTCTAGATAGAGATGGTGATGGAGAAATTGACTACGGAGAATTTGCCGCGGTCAACGAGATATAATAAGCCATGTTGCAACACTCAAGTTTGGGAAAACTCTGCACCCTCTCACGATATATGCTATGGTGTTCTGTAAAGCTAAGGTAAAAATTGTAACACGCAAGTTTGAGAAAACTTCGCGCCCTCTCGTAGGATAACACCCTCCTCGATCTCCACGATTGCTCGGATCATGATTCATACGAAAGACGAATCCAATAATTGTTAGTTAGCCACATACCCATCACCACATTTATATTACAGATACAACTGACTCATCGACATCCCAAATCCCACCGGTGGGAAAATGATGGTCACAGAGATATATACGTCCGAAATAAATATCGCATAAACACTTGCATTGCGAATACTGATGCGAGATCTTTTTTTTTTGCTCAAAAAGCCCAATTTGAGTCGTAATTTTTCTTTCTCAGCCGTGACCCTTTAAGCCTTAATATCCACTCACAAATTATCCAAACTGGTTTCTATACATTTCTATGAAGAATTCGTTGAGAGAACTACTTTGTCAATTCTCACAACCTTTTTATTTATTGTGCATTGTTATTGTTAGGAGAAAGATGATGTCGGTCACTCTTTCTTCAGCCCTTGTTTCAGAATTCCAGTTTAGCAAGATTAGAGTCTTTTGCATACGATTTTTTTTTTCGAACTACACCAAGCATGGCTTAGTCACAGTGTAATTTTAATGTAAACTAGCAGTGATGGAACTATTTCTCCTCCATCGGAACATATGCATGAGCCGCATCACCATCAAATATAACTATTAGTATTAAGCATACCTGGATCATGGCCCAGGAAGGCGTGGCCGTTTAAGAGAGCTTCTACGATCGCCAAGTTGCTTGATTGACGTTTAAGACAGGTATTACAATTTCTTATGACGAACTCACAGTTTTACGGTTACAGGAAGTTCATCCGATAATTTGTATTCATTATAAGAGCCGGTAATGTCCTTTCAGAATCGCATTCACTGTATGGACGGGATGAAGCTCTTAATTCTTCGGGCAATGAAAAGATATTTGTCGTTCAATAAAACAAACGGATTGTAACCCAGTCGTGACGTTTTTTTTCCTGATTTTCCCATACTGGAGAATATTCAGAAACGATATGGACAAGTATGAGGCGCAAAAACCGCTTTTACAAACTAAAGTAAGACGCGAAAGTCGTGAGTACAGGTCTGCTCCTGTCAAGTCCACATAAATAACACATTTTTTAAGTTAAATGTCAGTGTGTGTGACGATTTTAGTTTGGAACAACTAAAAACGCGCCACATTCGTTTCAACCTTGAACGAACATTATTTTGTATTAACAGAAGCATTTAAGAATTACTCACAATTTAAGAGGTCCAAACCGCCACGTGTGAACCCGAAGAAGCTAAAAGAAGAACGAAAAGAAAAAACGAGAATTAATGAACAGCTATGGTGAAAAGGACAGTCTTTTAGGTTAGAAACATTTGGGGAATCTCATCTCGAAACCAGCAGACCTTCTGGTGGGAAACTGTAATTGAAGATATTGGCCTGGTAGCAATAATTCGCCGTTTTTTTTTAAAGAACAAATACATGTGTAGGAAAGTAGCCAAGTTCCGGTAAGTCAAACATTTTATTTCCCAAGGGGGTATGTCACGCTTTTTCCTATCTTTTTAGAAAGCTGAAACGTGTCTTGAGCGTCAATTGAATTCAATAAAATAATAGTCCAGTATTGTTATCTAAGACTATATTTAGGATTGAAACTGTTGCTATAGCCTGTGTACAGAGCCCCTCTCCCCTCAATAAAAATCGGAGACGGGCCCTTCTACGGTTTTTACTGAGGGGAGGGGAGGTCTGTACACAGGCTACTGTCGCCACCGATGGCAAGGACGAACATGGTTTGAAACGTGAAAAAATTGAGCCAACGTTTTCAAGTTTTGATGTTATGCCTGCAAAAATCATCAAAAAAATATTATGATTGGAGCGCTCCCTGATAAAATTTGTTTCATACCTTCTTATTTTAACTCTAAAGAGGCATTTTGGGTAAAGTCGAACCAAGTAATGACTTCAGATTGATCTAAACCAGCAATCACCACGTGACTTGGCCCCTTTTAGTGAAACAACTTCCTTGTAGTTCAAGTACCAAGATATGACCCATCCGCTGTCAGAAATTTTTAACAAAATACTCTTTTTGTAAGATGCGGATCAATTTATTCTTTATTCAAAGCGAATAGTCACTGTTTCAAAATACTTGACCATGAAACTTGCCAATTTTATGACATTTCTTTAAACAGAGTTACTGACTTGTTAGCAGTGCTGGTGAAGCAGTGCCAATATAGTAAGCCGGAATCTATTAGCAATTCTAACTATCTGAGCACCATTATGTCGCGATTGAGCAAGCTTTCCTTCTGGTGTGGGCGGAATATTCTTATTTTTTCTTCCGATTTTAGACTGAAAATATTCTTGTGTTATTCTTAAATTATAGCTTATGACATTTCCGTTTTAGAATTATTGGAGTATCAATTACTGTTAGTGCTTGTTTCTTCAAACATAAATGACAAAACAGCCAAGACAAAAGCGACCTGAGGTTTCCCGATATTTCGGACGGACAAGAGCCGTCCTTCTTTAACGGTTTTCCGAAAATATCGGGAAACCTCAAGTCGCTTTGTCTTTGCTGTTTTGTTAGTAATGTTTATATTTTTGTCTTGAATAAAACACCTAGATATCGTCATTTTATGTAAAAATTTTCCAGGTTCTTTTGTTTCGTTGGTTAGTTTAGAGAAAGGAATAACTTTGTACGGTTAAGCTAAAGAACATATATTGTATTTACGGATTTTCAGCACAAAAAATCATATCATTTACAGCTTCGGGTTCATTCTTGAAATATTCTCTAAATTTCGCAAATTTCAGCCTCAATATCCTTACCTCATACTACTGACAGTGTAAACCACCCCCAAGTTAAAAAAAAAAACACGAAAAAGACAGGATGTTAAGCTTATTAGACTTGTTGTTTTATATCTTTATTTTCCTTCTGAATTTTCAAAATTCAAACGTGAATACATCATGAATGCACACTGTTAGTATCTTTTGCTCTTGTCATGCAACCTGGTTCCCAGGGTCTCTCTTCCAGGTGACAGGGAAAAGAGAGAGAAAGAGAGACACACTGGAAACCAGGTTGCTTTTTTGCCTAGTCCCTAGGCCTCATTATTGTGCGCGGCCGATGCGTTTCTGGTCACGTGGTCCGAGCACGTTTTTTTTCTTGACCGTTCGTCTCAGATACATCACCAAAATGCATTTACCGAGAAGGCCTGGGAAGATGCCATACAGGGACTAGGGCAAGTTGCTGTTAATGTCTTTGTTCTTTAACTTTTACATCCAATGCTGATCAACATCAATTTTCTCTTGAAAGTATCAATAAATTATCAAGGGAAACGGTTTGAAGAAAATGGTTCGATCTTTTCAAATTCTCTCAACTGATTAGGGTAATGTATGAGGCATGGAGATCAGTCTGGAGATTTTGTAGGATCGATATATTGGCTTAATGGGTAACACTGGCAGATCTAGGGAGACCCCCCTTATTTTTTGCCAAAGAATGAGTCCTGCAGGGCCAAGAGATCCTTTTTTAGAGGGGGGGAGAGGAGGGGACACCCCTCTTATCACAAGATCTGGTAGCACCCTTCCACTTTCTTCAAGATCTGAATTCGCTATTGTAAATACAGCTATTTCAATGTGCGTTGTAGGATTACAAACAGGCAATTTTTAAAAATGCCATGAACCAAAGTTCTCCTGTCATAAAACAGCAAAGGTAGTCATTTGTGACCCTTTTATACTATCCATGAAATGTTTGGCATGTTTCAAAGGATTCAAAGCTACTTGCATGACCTTGCAGTCTAGTCGCATAAGTTTGAGGCCTTAAAATCCAGGAAAGTTCCATAGCTGAATACTAAAAAGAAGCCAGATTAAGCTGTTGCTTGAGTCAGAAGGGTTAGGATCTCCATGCCTTACGTCTTCATTCAGATTTTATGATATATTTTTTGTTTACAACGTTATTCAAACTAGTTGCTTCTTCTTTCTAGAAAAAAGTAGCCGGCCTCTATGAGCAAAGTAGCCGACGCGTTCCGTCGGCTATCGGTACTTATTAAAACCCCTGGGAGAGGTGGCTGTTAGTGGAGGTTCAACGGTAATTTCTGATATTCTAAGTAAAAGGAAGCATCAAAAATTGGATTTACTGAGTGGTTTTGTAAACTTGCTAACTAAAATGCCAAATAACACTTGTTAGGCTTACATGTATGAATTAAAAACTATTAAATTATTGTAAAGTTCCCCTGAATGTATACAGCCGAACCTCCCATAAGTGACCACCCAAAATGCAAAGACTAAGTGGTCACGTACGGAGGTGGTCATTTACAAGAATCAAACCACAGGAAGCCTTTTCCGAGAAGAGGTCCAGACATGGAAGACAATTTAATGCATGCAATGCCTAAGTTACGACATGTGTAGTTCCATGTTGTCACTAAAGTTCTTTGCATATTCTAAGTAGCACAGTGCACATAGCGAACGTAGACATCAGAGAATGCATCAAGTGGCCGCTTAAAAGAGGTTAATAAACAATGGAAAATCATTAACTGTCAGGCCCAAAAGGTGGTTGCAGTCACTTACAGGAGGTGGTCATTTACTAGAAGTTCAAACTCTAAGGCTGTTACTGGGAAATCTTGGTGTTTTGGGTTAGCGGTCGTTTATGGGAGGTGGTCACTTACGAGGGGTGGTTGCACATGGAGGTTCGACTGTAAATCTAAATAAAGTTCGCAGGGACCATAATCCCTCTAAGGCCAAGTTTATACGTCATACATTTGCCAAACTCAATTATATTGGGTTTAACAGAAGTACAACAGAAGCACAACATCAATTCATACCTTGTGACTGAGTTGAACGTAATATTGTGAACGTATTATCAAGACAATGGCTCTGAAACTAGTTTTCAAAATGAATAAATTTAGATTAACATGGCATAAGCACAACGTTTGAATCACTACCACGCCAGAGTCAGGGGAACAAAAGCAGAAATTCAATACGGATAATATGTCACTACCCAGATCTGAGAACTGATTTTGATTGGATAAGGGAAATTTTCAACCAATGGTCACCACTCAGATCTGAGTATTGACCAATATCATTATGGAATTTCTCTGCTCATAATCCTCAGACATCATAGTTGTGACAGCTGTTTTCTATAATCACTGGCATAATCCAAAATCAGATCTTGGAGGTCACTTTAACGCAAATATATGCCCGCAATCTGGTAGAAAAGTTCAAACGGCTGTTCAAAATGAAAAATTTTACATTGAATATAGATCAGTCAATCTGGTAGAAAAGTTCGAATGGGTATTTGACATTGAATGTGATGGACAAAAAATCTATTGAAATAATAATATAATATTGTTGAAAGTCGGACAACAAGAACAACAAGAACTTCTTGACTAGCATTGTGGATAAAACACATACTATCAAAACCTGGACAGGAATGAAACAATAAAACACTTACTAGTGTCACAAATATCTGCTATGATCCTTGGTATCTTTTTTAGAAGCTAATTATGAAACAATGTATGTTAAGGTTTGCTTAGAATACAATAGCTTTTACCGGTTTGTTTGCGCAAAGGGATCAACTGTTTTATGTCAACTGGTCACGAATGCCAGGTAATTGGATAGGGCAAGGGAAACGATTTCTGTCGCCACTCGCGCCCCGTTTCATTCTCTGCCCCCATTACTGTAGTGAACGGGAGAGGAAAGAAGACTGCAAACCTTGAGTGACAAGCGTGACAATAGTTTTGTTTGAAAAAACGTTCCGCCAAACTTCAACTCCTTTCTTTCTTTCACAGATGTTTTTTTTAAACGACCAGAAAATATTAATGCTGGGGAAGATTACGACAAAACGCGCAAATAATGGCCCTGTCGCGTTTGTCACACTCAAACGTTTTGCTGTCCTCTTCTTTCTGCCGTCCTATTGCGAAAACTCACTCAAGCGCCTGCAGTGAAGGCTTCACAAGCCATTAAATTCGATTTCCCCCGTGAAATTCAAAGTTGAAACATTAAGCTTAAATCCGAGATCGAGAACGAAGTAAACTATGTATTCTTACCCTTTCCGACACTTGCGAAGCAAGCAAGTACGCTGTCGCCCTTCCCCCGATTTCAGCGCGGTGACATCTTGAAAGTTACTTCCACGGCAAGTATTTAAAAAAGGCTGATAAAATTTTCTTCATTACACTCCCCAATAGTTGTTATAGGTCATTTTTCCCTTCTTCATCTTGTTTCTGACGCCGTGAAACGAGTAATTTATATCTTCCGAAGGAAATTCAACACGATTTGAATTCCCGCCTGGCGGAGCGAAAGGCCTGGCAACTGTAAGCGGCCACCCCCCCCGCCCCACCTCCACCCACACTACCCCGGTCATTTCCCGTCATAAGACCTCCTAGGAGAACGAACACCCTCTAGTACTGCGTATATGTAAGTGCTACAGCTAGTTTTCTTGATTGTTACAAAAGTATGGTTTGACTCCAATACAGCCTCGTCCATAGCAAAGTCATTTTGAAAAAAAAAGAATAAAAAATATAAAGAAGGAACTTGCCTTTTTGACTCCCAAGGGATCATTTCCATAGCGACGAATGTTCCGCTGTAAAGTAAGGAACGACTGCGTTCCGAAAAGGCAGAAATATCAGAGTGGTCGATTTTCTTACTGATATTTGTGATTTAAGAGCAATTATTTAACTTTGGAGAAACTCGAGGTAAGCAAGGCTTGCTTTAATGCTACAGACAGTGAACAAGGTAACCAAGACCTAGTTCATTGTTCATTTCTTTATTACCCTTTCAATCAATTAATCATGGCAGGAACACACAACAAATAGTTTAGATGTTTAGTGTACATGAGCATCCTTTTTTCAAACCATGGATTAATTTTTAAGACCAGTACATGATGTATTCAGCTTTTGATCGTTAACGCTAAGGTAGTTAAATCCTTGCCTTTCAATTTATGGGATCAATTCTATCCTCCCGCGACACTGAGGGATTAATACATTTTTGTGTTTGACACAAAGGCCTTCGATCGCGAGCAAAAATCGTTGCACAAAGAAAACGCCTCACGTTGAGATAAACATTCTCAGCAGTCACGCAGAAGTGGAAAGAGAAAATACTGAAATGATCTAAGTTATTTCATATGTGTGTAGGAATCGATCGGATGTAGTATAAATGCGAAGTAGTCTAGCTAGTGAATTGGTTACTAAGGAACATCGAAATGCATTTTTAATATGAGCTTGAATACTTTTGTTAAATAAGAATTTTAGTGCATCTCTATAAATTTAGCCCTAGTCTAGTTAGCCGAGTGGATAACCTTTAAAAAGCCAGGATTATCGACGGAAGGCATAACACCTGGCACGCAGAATGATCTTGTCGCCCTCAAATTTGCCGCACGTGCCTGGAAGTACTGGAAAGAATTTAATAATTAACTCTTTTCAAATTTGGGTAAGAAATATAAAATGAAACTTAATGTTTTTTAATTATAGGCCAGTTTTTTCGATAATATTAAGATATATTATTTTTTGTAAATTATCATTTGGATAAAATTTATTGCATGGTTTGATAGACATTTTTTTGAAGAGAACAAATATGTCAGCCAAGCTTTGGCAGATGTCATAGCCTTTATTTCACTAAGCCAACAAATTTTGCAAGAAGATAAACATGGATCCCATAAATAAATTTGTCCAAGCTCCATTTGCACTCCCATTACATCAAAGCAATATATTTTTTTTATTACAGTATTACATGTATGTTAACATATGTTACATATGTTAACATTAGATCACCTTTTTTCGGGACAGGGCTTTGTAACAGTGTATAATGCACGCAAGAGCTACAGTGAAGAAAGTTGACAAGACTTTAAAGACCTTAAGTTCCGCAACACTCTCAGTCAATTCTCTGTCGGCCACCGAAATTAAATGTGAAGACAGTGACGATGAATCTGATGGATGGGAAACTGACTTGGAATGCGATGATCAGGTAGTAATGCCATTCTTAAGGCTTAAGATTTTAAAATTTTTAAGATAGTGTAGATTGAAAAGAAGTATTAATTTGCCATCATGTAACACCTTCTAAGATACAGCAGTACCCTTGGTGTTTTTGAAATTCCAGATAATTTGAGCCAAACTAACTTCTCTTCATCAGTCAAACACTGTAATTTTATGCTGATTTTTTAAACCTCCCTATAATTTGAACCAATTTGCTTTTCCCACTTTGTTTTTAAAAACTGGGATTTCACTGTAATGAAATACACTAGTGTATCAAAAGTACATGCAGAGGCATTGCCAGCATATAAACCTGTAGGCCCAGGCCTACAAATTTTTGGTTTGATCACTCTACTGCTTGTAATAAATTATGTGTTGTTGGGGTGAGGTAAAAAGCTTAAGAGGTCAAAATGTTGGTGAGGTCAGTGCAGGCCTACAACTAGTCAAAAAGCTGGGTATGCCCTAACCTGAGAACAGGCTCAATTTTCGTTTCACTTTGTAAATAACATTTCGGCGGATAGGGCAAAACGACAGCGGTAACCATTAGAGAGATTGTATGAGAACCGCTAAAATTGGGCCTGATCTCAGGTTAGCTATGCCCCTGAGTACATGTATCTTGGGGCTTTATTCCATGCACCACTAGACGTCTGTCTTCACATTTAGTTTATGTCTACTTCACCCTGGGGGTGTACTCCCTTACATGGCATATATGGGGAATGCAATGTGCCACTGGACAGGCTATGGTTTTTACCCTTTGTCCTTAACAAGGTACATTTATATCATTTGGCACAAGTCTTTCCTAAACAGGGTATATAATTTCATGCAAGTATGTCCCAATGTAAACAGGATATTGCCTGCATGATTGATTTGACTTGCTTGAGGAAATATGTATACAGATTAACCTTCTATAATTTAAAATATTGCTAACTATTAAAGAAAAGTAAACTAAATTAAAGCCTGTTTTACATGAATGCCGCGTCGAAATTAGTTAAGAATATGTGTATACTATAAGTATGAAAGCTATGACTACATGTATAATGTGAATTACTTAGCTCTATAGTAATTGCCAAGAAAATGGCATGCATTTTGTTCTTTGTACTAAACAGGGGTAAGAAAATTAAGGTTGTTCTCCTTAACAGGGTATCTATTTTAGAATTTTTTTGTCCTAAACATGGTCGGGGTTCAAACCCTCAGCGGCTCACCTATACCCAAATATCGGTCAAGTACCCTCATGGAGACTGCACCTTTCATAGAAGTGGGTCATCTCATCACATAGGTTTCTGTTGCACTCTTTGCGGCAGTTTGAACAGATTTTCATATCAGGCTGGAGTGTTATTCATGTAGACATGATAATCTATCCAGTCTATAGTGTGGAGCCTAAATCTCCAATTTTTTGCAGGACTTTTTACAGTTGAAGCCTCAGTATGACCCCACTGGTCGGGCACTTTACAGGCGAGCATGCCAGAAACTTGGAATTGTTCCTGCGTCTTACTTTGTGCGTCACATGACTGAGCCTACTGTTGCCATGTCTCATCATGGGCTTGGCCCACTCGGAATCAGGGCTATGGCTTTAGCTCTTTTATACAACACTAAAGTGACAAGCCTTGATGTAAGGGACAATGGTATTGGAGATGAGGGAGGAGAAATCATAGCAAAGCTCTTGAGAGAAAACTACTTCATTGTGGAATTAGACATATCTGAAAACCAGCTTGGAAGAAGTTCTATTGTGGAGATCGCAGAAACACTCAAGGAAAACAACACGCTGATAAAGCTTGGACTTGCTGGGAATTCTCTGGATGACAAAGATGCTGATATACTTTGTGGATCTCTGCTTGTAAATAATACACTGACTCAGTTAGATTTGAGCTGCAACAAATTCTCAAACAAAGGTTGCGAGTACTTTGCAAAATTACTTGACGAGAACATCAGTCTATCAGAGCTTGATTTAAGCTGGAATCACATTCAAGCTCAAGGAGGAAAAATGCTGGCTAAAGGACTTAGAGGAAATGTAAAGCTCAAGTCTTTAAATTTGGCATGGAATGGTTTAGCAACAGATGGAGCCAAAGCACTTGCTGGAGCTTTAATAGAGAATGGAACCCTACAAGAGTTGGATTTAAGTAGCAATAGAATTTCAGATGCAGCTGCTTTTAGTATTGCAAGAAGCCTGGAAAACAATTCTTCTCTTGAAGTTCTAAAGCTAGCAAAGAACCATCTTCAAAATAATGGTGCTTGTGCTATTTTAAACTCAATCACCAAAAATGGAGATAGTAGACTAAACAAAATCAACCTTTCAGGTGTCATTGTTAAAGACGAATTTCACTTAATCGCAGAAGAACTGCAAAATCTGAGGCAGATTAGTATAATAACAGAGGAGACAACTGAAACAAAAGCTAAGAAGGAGGAACCTGATCCCGGTACTCTTCTGCGTAACTACATAGCAAAAGAGCATGTTCTTGTCGTCGATTTGTTCCGCAAGTTAGATCGTGATGGAAGCATGCAAGTGAGTGTGAAAGAATTTGCAGAAGGATTACGCAAATCAGATGTTGGGCTGACTCAATATGAGGTAGACAGAATGATTGACGTGTTGGACGTTGATAAAGATGGTGAAATAGATTACAGTGAGTTTGTGTACATTCAGTCTGAGTGGAAAAGTGAAGAGAAAGGAAAGAGAAAATTATCCTCAATGTAGCTACTTGTACTTTATTGGGCACGCTATGTCTCCAACTGTAAGTGAGAATTAACATAATCCGAGTTTTACCATGCGCTTACGGTGTGTAAGCACTACGTTTGCAAAAATTGCTTTGTTGTATTTGTGACAGAGATCAGCTTCTATTTCTTAACACACTTAATTCCTTTTTTAACCCGGTAAAGTTTAATTTGAATTTTTTAACAGGTCACTTCCAGTTAACTTGCTAAATACAGTTGCAGCTACAGCCATTGTCGAAAATAAGTGTATGCCCGTATAGGCTTAAACTATTAAAAGCAACATTCTATTTACGCTTTGTTTATGAGGATTCACCAATGCTTATGATTAAATAAAGTTGAAGGGATATGGCTTTTTCTGTACAGCTAGCAATAACATTGATTAATTTTTATCTAGAATAATATATAGTGCTATCAAAACATAATTTATGACAGCTGACTTTAATTTTGAAATGAACATAATTGCTTTACAAATAAATACTATTCCTAACTCAGTAATGCCGTCTTGTTTCCAACTATTTTCAGTGTAAATACTAATGTTGAAGTAATTTGAATTGTCATGTACAAATCAGACTATCAAGTTAGCCTGAATGGCCAGTACCCTGAATTTCAGCCAATTGCTTCGAGTCGTTTTCTCTCAGCAACGTCGTTACTCAGGGAGTAATAACGACTCAAAGTAATCGGATGAAATTCGGGCTACTAGCTAGGAGAGGGAAAGGGAAAAGTCATGCACACTGGCATGCCAAAATTCCCTCCCTGCCTCAACTATTAACTTGGGAGTGATACTGACTGAGGTTTTTGATGAGAAAACGCCAAGGAAATGAGCCACACCATGTCCAAGGGCATTCTCTAAAAATCCAGCCTTTGCCCTGCCAACTCAGATTTGTTCACTCTTAAATGATCTTAACAAGTTAGACATGGCATTTCATTAACAGCAATGATGATCAGAAAATGTCACCGGAAAAAAGGAATTTATTGAACTTCTTCCCTGTTTCACAACATCGATTTTCTTTTTTATTTACAACAGTTTTGTCTTATTATTATCATTATTATTACTTTAGATACAAGTAAGAAAACAGATCCTTAGTTCAAGAAAACAAATAATTATCAGTAAAACAGAACCAGAAACTTGCGATGGGGCTGTTCAAACCTTGACAACTTTCTGATTCAACATCTACAGTAAAATCCTGGTAACTTGAACTCTGAAGGGAAACGAAAAACAGTTCGAAATAGCAGGGGATTCGAGTTATCAGGGTACTTTTCAGTGAAATTTTGACCAAGAGAAACAAAAGTTAGTTGCAGTTAGTGGAGAAATTGAGTATCCGAGTTCGAGTTATTGAGGTTCTACTGTATTATAAGTTCTAATAATCCATGTTGAAAGAAGGGGATATTTTTTCCAGCCTTCAAAAGGCTAGATGGCAGTATATTTAAGGAATCAGAGAAAACAATATTTTTTCCTGAAAAACTAGTGAATATCACTAAATTCTACATATGTTTGCCATCTAAAAACAGGCAACCATTAAAGTAGCCTCCTATGAAGATGTTCTTAGGGCTTTGTCGTGAAGAAATAGCCCTGAGTGACCCATAATTTGTCATCTCATGCCAAAATCCTTTTTTTTTCCACATGAAATCAATCACAGCACTGCGAGGGAAAAAATTTAACTGTCTAGCAGAAGTCACTTGGAGCAATCTTTTAAGTAAAATTCCTATGATAATTCCTGTTGTTATGACATGTAAGGATTCTTCTGCATTATCCAGTTGACAGTTTCTTCTAGTAGTGACAACTTGTAATGACTGAAACAAAAAGAAATAAGTTCATTCCAGAAGGACACAAGGAAGGAATCAAAACAACAATAGAGCAGCTTTTATGTGCCATTTTGCACATTTCCCCAGGGTGCAAAGAAAGTCAGTTTTACAGCTAACCATTCAGGCAAGCTGTAGCTAGCGTGTAATTACCCAAAAGTCATTTCACTGGACCAAAAAAATTTTTGGATCACCAGGTTTAAATACACTTCTTCTGTAATTTGAACTCCCCAAGAAACTTCACTTGCCCATCAGGCAAGTTAATAAGATATTTCACTAGCACAAAAGCAAAATCCAATAGCCCTGTGCCATTGGACACTACTTTCTTTGCACACTGATTTTTTCCTTCCCCTTCCCCCCCCCACCCCACCCCTCCCAACCACCACCACCACCACCACCACCAAAAAAATATATGAAAGGCATGACATTTGTTTTCAATTTTTCCTGGGTATTACAGAGTTAAAGACAATGCTTGTGTGAAATTTTAGTACGGCAAACAAGGTGTATTATGGGAAATGCAAAGATGGAAAATGTCGATCATGGAAAGAAGGCAGCAAATGATCCTTGAGGCCATCACTTGAATTTCTTTAAAATGATCAGTAAGCAATCTATTTATGGAAATAAATGAGTCGAGTTGAGACTTTTTATAATAGTCTTCACCTTATTTTGCTTTCTTTACAATTGACCTGGGATGAGATCACAACAAGTTTTAAATTAGGTTGCAAATACCTGGCCACATTTCTGAAGGTCTTCAGCTTTTCAGAAAAGTCATCAAGAGACAATGTGTATGTAAAGTTACCAGCACAACTACAGTATCTTGCCATGTTAGTTGCCTTTACCTGTATAAATAATCATTTAAAAAATGGGTCATTACCACTGATATTTATCATGTGTAAATGAAGTAAAATAATTATTTATTTAACACAGTTAACAACTAGGAGCACGGGCGTGGTCAGCAGTCGGTCGTTTGGCTGAGGTGCTGTCAACCTTGCTTGCGTCACCTCCATGTGCTCAGTGCAACGTTTTCCTGGCAGCCACTCTCTTCATTTAGCCTTTGGATCATCCTTTTACCCCCACCCCTTCCCCCTTTATTCTTCCACTGATAAATCAGGTGACAGGTGCCTGGTTCCATTGGCATGGGGTCTCATGGATGGAGGGCACTGGTTTCCCAGCCATTCGGGTGTAACTCTCTCTAGGGGCTGGCTTTGCCAAAAGTGGAAGCCCCTGGTCATCCCAGGCACCCACCTCTACTAAGTGACGCAGTTGTTAATGCACACTTTTTCAACTAAACTTTTTCCAATATTAAAGAAGGGATTGTATGTAAAGAATCCTTTCTTTCATGTGCAGTTAACAATCATATACTGTACTAGATCATGACCCCTTACAGCTCACATCATTTAAGCTTGACCAGAGCCCACTCTTAAGCTTTCTTGATTTGAGGTTTACCAACAGAGAAAGATAAATTATACCAAAAATGTAACATGTCAACACAAACATTTAAGGTCCAGAATTGTCAATATACCTGGCTAAAAGAAAGCTTTGTTACAGGTAATAAACAACCAGCCACTAAAGATGGTACAAACACATCAACATACCCCACGACATTTGGTACATTTTAGATCCTGGAGAACAAATGCCATTGACAGCTTTTGCACCATGTCAATCAACTGAATCTCTATGAAGTCCATGTCATATTCACTGCCACACTCTAAATTTGCACATCTACAACAAGCCCTGTACAAACAAGAGACATTGTTATGCAAAGTATGATTTATTCCCGTCACTACATGGCAAATCAATTGGAGAAGCTTCAATTCGCAACTACAATCAACTGTCTCCTAACCCTTTAAGCTCCAAAATGCAAACACAAATTATCCACTGATCTCCATACATTTCGTTAACGAACTGCTTGAGAGAATTTTGTCTTCAGGGGTGAAGACAATCTTATTGAGTTCTTAGGGGGTAAGAAGATAATGACCTTGGTTGGAGAGGGGGAGGTGCCGAGTGGTGCAGATATTAAATACAATAGACAGCCATACATTAAATGCATATCATATTTCCATGTACATACGGTTTGTTTCCTTCTGCTGGTGTTATAAAAGGATCTCTACACAAGTCCAGGTCACGGCAAGAGTTACAAGAGAGGCAAATAACCTGTTGGGGGAAATTTCCAACAAATGCTAAATATCATGAAAGGAAATAAAGGGAAATGTAAAGAATCAACCGTAAGAGGACACAGAAAAAAATCTGAGCCCCAGATGGGATTCTAACCCACGACCCTCCCTCTTTTTCAAAGAGCTGGAATTGAAGTGTATAAATTCTGTCGAGTGCATAATTTTTTACTGTACCAGTGTAGTGCATCCGCAAATTTAAAATATATGCACCGTGATTTATTCTCATAAACTTACTACAGTTTGACAAGCTGTTTTCACAAGGCTATAATATTATTATGGCCAGAGAAGCAGAAAGTTTGAAGGGTAGATGCACTCCAGTTGTAGGTTATCAAATTCAAGGAGCACTCAAGTAATAACAACTGAGTTTTCATGGAGGGTTCACAGCACGTTTTGCGAACGAGTTTTTCCAAAAATTTTAAATTTTAGAATTTCTGCCCAGTCTTTGAGCTACTTTGATGTAATACCATGTTATTCAAGGAGTTCAAGGAGTTTTCAATCAAGCAATCTTAGCTGAATTTCTTCTTTTCAAGAGTTTTTCAGGTGTCCCAGAAATCGAAAATTGAGTGTGAGCATTCAGATGTCAAACACTGAGGAATTCTTTCCTGCAATAATTTATGCAACGCAAGTGGCCTTAACTTACTAGTCTGTGGATAATATACTCACAAAGGGCGAAAACTCAAAAGAAAAAAGAAACAAACTTCATTTTAAATCATTATTGTTCTTAAAAATTTGAAAAACGACAGTTTGACAATGATGGCTTACCTCTGGTAGAATTAGTGAGGAGCAAGGATCTCTGAATGTGGCTTCTGCTGAAAATTCTCCAACACCTAGTAGTCGCAGCAAATCTCGCCTAATTATAAAGAGATGTGTAAAGACCCATACTAAGAAATAAATGACTTAAAAGGTAATAAGCACTTTTAAAACAGGCCAAAATTTTTATTGCCACCTTCAGTTTTTTGTCTGCATGTGGGTTTTCCTATGATTTTAATTCAGGCAAAATATTATTGAT